AAAGGTACCTTCACAGATACACCTAGACTGATGTTCATAATCACTCACCCTGAACCAGTGTTTCAAGAAACTGGACACTATCAGTCATAGGTTCAGGGTGACTGATTATGAACACCTCACACTGCACCAGCATGTTCCCCTCTCCCTATAAATGTCCAGCTCCTGGGCTCTGCTGTCCAAGACCTTCTTCCAGGAGATGAGATCTTAAAAGTTTTAGGAAATCAAGGAAAATATAAGCTCCAAAGTCACCTAAATAAATAAATAAATAAATAAATGAGCAAACAAGGCCTAAGATAGGGGGGGAGACATATACTGGGAATGGGACAGATGTGAAGAGGGAATACAGACAGAAAATGCAATACCAGAGACAGAGAGAACAAGTGTTTGAGGAGGATGAAGAAGGAATAGATCTTTACTGTGATCTCTCTCTTTTTTTAAAGATCATTTAAATTAGTTTTATTTTGAGATGGGCAGTGGTGGGTATAATGCTATTTAGTCATCAATAATAATCAGTAGCACATTTGTGGTATCACAAACTCAAGATTGAGAGAGAGATTTTGCTTACCTTGAATTTACATCATTTCAGCTTTCTCTTTATAATTCTGCAGTGGTGCTCAGATACACCACACTTTCTCAGTGTATTGCTAAACTAGTATTTATTAATAACTCTGTAAGAGCAGAAGGTATGGGGTTCAAAGACCTGGGTTGTAGTCCCAGCTCTGTCTCCTACCTGTCTTATCATCTTTCTGTTATAATTTTCTTTTCTTTTTTTTTTTTTTTAGTCTTTACTATGAACTTGCAACAGTTTCTTCAGTTCCCCAGAATAGAGCAGCATGAGTGTATGACTAATGTCAAATGAGACACATATGATAGGAGTGGGATTGGCAGGAGAAAAATGAAATGATTTTTTCTTTACTTCCCAAATTCAATGGTATAAAAAATTAGAATAACTAATCTTACACATTTCCATATGGACAGAAACTCAGTCTCAGAGTTTCCTCCAGTAATTCCTGGGAAACATGAAAATCAAAAGGAAAAGAATATATTACCTTCTATAGAGTCTTCAAGAAGAGTGCAGGCCTAGTATTTCATTTACTTATCAGCTAATAAGTTAGCCAGTTACTGTTCCCTGGATACCAACAGAAGAAACAAGACTGCTGGATCAGACACAAAGGATTTTATTACTTATGCCAAACTAGTAACCACAAGTTCATGTTCATTTGCATGCATCTCCCATGTCTTTACTCACAGGGATAACTCAAAGAGCCCTTAACGGATTTCTTCTCTCTCTCTCTCTCTCCTTCCTTCTTTCTTTTTTTCCATAAAAAGAGGTTTTTATTGCCTTTGATTCACAGTTGGTATGTCACATTATCTCGTGGTCCCAGGGCTCCTGAGTAGGCAGGTCCCAGGGAGGACATCCTGCTGTACCAGCCATGACAACATATGCAGTCCTTGGAGGGAGAGATGGGACAAGTACAGAAGGAGTGAGGTTCTTGCTTTGCCTCAACCGCTCAGAACTCCATAGTCCTATCTGGCCCTCAGTGTCCTCACTGGGGCCTGGGAGGGGTTTGGGGAAATCTATTCCCTCACAAGGCCTAAATTATCTGGGGACTGTGGTC